ACTCTATCTTGCTGGTCTAAAATGCTAAATAGAGCCTTCATCTCGAAGAGAACATCAGGCGAGCTCGATTTCGCAATCGGAAATGGACCGGAGATGACCTCCTTCTGACGGACATCGGAAGGCATAGGGTAAAATATCGACTGGACTGGACTATTTTGTGGATCACTTTTTGGACCATTTTTTGGACCATTTTTTGGACTCTTTTTTGAACTGTTTTTGAACCATTTATAAGGGGGAGCACACCATTAGTACTCAGGAAGGGGTAGGTGCAGTCTATAAATACTGAGAGAGGGGTGGGAGGTAGAGTGTTATTACTCAGGGAGGGTGGGAGGTGGTTGTAATTGTAAACTCTACTGGTTAATGGAGCTTTTACTCGATCGTGCAAATTATTTTGATCGGTTTTTCGACTGACTTTTTGTATATCAAAATTTTTGCGCTGGACCGCGGCGTTTCTTTAATTTCTTTTGTCATGTGAAAGAAAAACTGCCACGTAAACACTGGACTTTAACTTTTATTGAAAACATCGCGTTTACGATCCTCCACTGTTGAGTTGCCAGTCTGGCATAGGTTATGCGTGTGCCTTTTAAGGTGACTTGTACACCATCAGTTTTCCTTTGTGTATACAGTATGTTGATATCGAATCGCAAAGCTTTGTAAAATTGTTCGAGTTTATTCGATGCGATGTATTAAAAAATTCAAGGCTTATCAAGATGGTTGATCGCAGAGAGAAGCTGACGTCCTACATGCGATCAATGGGCGTTATTGCAATACTCGTATCCACACAGACACATTTTCCAAGAAAGGTGGAAACCGAATTCGGGAACTTATTACAATTTGAAGATCTCCTGGATGATAGGAAACTTTTTGTTTTGCTTAAAAATCTTTCCAAGGCTCAACTGGCTGAAGACGTAGTAATGTTATCTCAGAAAGTAAACAACAGGAATTCTCCGTCTCGTCTTCGCAAATTCAGCAAGCTGGCCTCAATCAATCAATCAATCAATCATTTTATTTAGTAATGCAGGTTGTAAGGAAGGGGGCAGCCATAAGGCTGATGTGGACCTACAACGAACTAATAAAATGTAAAACTAAAATAATTCATAAAGTCACCCTATGGTATTTAAATATTCAATATGAATCATTGTAATAAAATTCATCAGCAAACAAGTCACGAATTAATTCAAAAATTTACATGCAATGTAATAAAACTTAAAAATATACAAAATCTCTGTCTTTCATAGCAATCATAGGCGCTTCAAAAGAGAAGCTATTTATGTTCTGTGAGAGCTTACGTAAAATATTTTTAAAACTGTCTTTTTGAATGTTCACATTAAAATTTGCCAGCCTAGCAATAAAATTCCAGATTACAGGTCCTCTGTATTGTGCTGATTCCTTTCCCACTTTGTAGTTCACTCTAGGGATTTCAACCTGTAACCCTCCTGTACGTGATGGTCTGTTGCGTAACTTCAAATTAAAAG